AATTGCTATTTGTAAAATGGTTTTGAGTGGTTGCATAGATGACATACCAACCTGAAAAGAAGGATGGTGTTTTATATGTATTACGGGTCATAATGCTAAAAATAGATCCTTACCAAAGGTCATTTCATGAGAGGATAGCTGGAGGTGAAATTTGAATTGGGACGACTTATATTTTCCAGTGGCTCCTTCACAGGATTTGGGACTCTTTGCCAAGGGATGCCTAGCTAATTTCATTGTTGCTTGTACTTCTTTTGTCAATCACAAAGATTCAGGAGAGATGTTGGCCTTTCATGCGCATTCCTGGCTGATCTAGCTTTTTAACTGATACCGCTGCTTCCTCAAATGATACGTTATCCTCTGCGAAATTATACAGTCTTTTATTTCAGATGACAGGGGGGCCTTCTGAAGCACCCAAAGTAGGAAGGCGTGATCTACATCGGTAAATGATTTCCATTTCACCCTGCAATTTAAAAACTCCTAGGGATTAGGGCAGTGGTGGCGAACCTATGGCACGCGTGCCAGAGGTGGCACTCAGAGCCCTCTCTGTGGGCACGCACGCCATGCCCCGGAGATGGCAACCATCCTCTTCAACCAGCCGCCCACTAACTTGCCGAGGTCCCACGTGGCCGGATGCATCCCAGTACCCATGCACTTGCTGGCATCTGTGTGCGGGGGCCGATGGTGTCAGGCAGCAGCCGCCCTGGCCCCTGCCTCGCCTTGCCCTGCGACATGGCACCCCCGCCCTGCCTCACCTCACCCCGCAGAACCAGCCTCCTGTCCACCACCCCACCCGCCAGAGACCCCTGGATCTCCCCCAACCCTGCCCGGCCCCCACAGGCATCCCTCCCCAGGAGCAACATCGAGCTGGCCACGCCCACCCGGCTGCCCTGACCACTGTAACCACACCCACACGGCGGGCCACACCCACCCGGCGGCCACGCCCACCCGGCAATACATAAGTGGGTTTTGGGTTGAAGTTTGGGCACTCGGTCTCTAAAAGGTTCGCCATCACCGGATTAGGGGATCCGAAACCACATCATATTCATTGTGATAATGGGCTTTTGGACTGAATTCCCCTTCCCTAAGAAGATAACCAGATATCCAAAGCAGAACAAACCTTGCTAAATCTTTCCTCGACAATTGGAGCTCCACTGTGCCAGGAACTTCCAGAGCAATAACTGGCAATGCATCTGGGAAATGGGAGATGGAGGTGAAAATGCAATAAAGGCTAACCTGAACGCTTCTGTCATTTATCAACTGTATGAAGCCCCAGAATAGATGGGAGGGGGAAAGCTCTGCTTTGCTGACTGTAGCCTGGGTTTCTTGGAAATGTTTCTTTGCCATTCACTCTGAAAAAGATCTGTTGGTATCTTCCTTTTTGGCAATGCATAAAAATACGCCATTCTTTTGTATGCTCGTACGGGCAATATATTGGCCGATCTGGAGTTTCACTCAACCGTCAGCATGCATTTATTTGTTTATTTATTTATGAGACTTATATACCGCTTTCAGTGCAAGCACTCTCTAAGCGGTGTACACCAGTAAGCAATGTGTATATATATATATATTTACATTGCCCCCAACAATCTGGGTCCTCATTTTACCTACCCCGGAAGGATGGAAGGCTGAGTCAACCTTGAGCCGGTGAGATTTGAACCGCTGACCTGCTGAACACAGTCAGCTAAAGTGGCCTGCAGTACTGCACTCCAACTGCTGTGCCACCTCTATTCTATTCTATTCTATTCTATTCTATTCTATTCTATTCTATTCTATTCTATTCTATTCTATTCTATTTATTTATTTATGAGACTTATATACCGCTTTCAGTGCAAGCACTCTCTAAGCGGTGTACACCAGTAAGCAATGTGTATATATATATATATTTACATTGCCCCCAACCATCTGGGTCCTCATTTTACCTACCCCGGAAGGAGGGAAGGCTGAGTCCACCTTGAGCCGGTGAGATTTGAACCGCTGACCTGCTGAACACAGTCAGCTAAAGTGGCCTGCAGTACTGCACTCCAACTGCTGTGCCACCTCTATTCTATTCTATTCTATTCTATTCTATTATTCTATTCTCTCTATCTATTCTATTCTATTCTATTCTATTCTATTCTATTTATTTATGAGACTTATATACCGCTTTCAGTGCAAGCACTCTCTAAGCGGTGTACACCAGTAAGCAATGTGTATATATATATATATTTACATTGCCCCCAACAATCTGGGTCCTCATTTTACCTACCCCGGAAGGAGGGAAGGCTGAGTCCACCTTGAGCCGGTGAGATTTGAACCGCTGACCTGCTGAACACAGTCAGCTAAAGTGGCCTGCAGTACTGCACTCCAACTGCTGTGCCACCTCTATTCTATTCTATTCTATTCTATTCTATTCTATTCTATTCTATTCTATTCTATTCTATTCTATTCTATTCTATTTATTTATGAGACTTATATACCGCTTTCAGTGCAAGCACTCTCTAAGCGGTGTACACCAGTACGCAATGTATATATATATATATTTACATTGCCCCCAACCATCTGGGTCCTCATTTTACCTACCCCGGAAGGAGGGAAGGCTGAGTCCACCTTGAGCCGGTGAGATTTGAACCGCTGACCTGCTGAACACAGTCAGCTAAAGTGGCCTGCAGTACTGCACTCCAACTGCTGTGCCACCTCTATTCTATTCTATTCTATTCTATTCTATTCTATTCTATTCTATTCTATTCTATTCTATTCTATTCTATTCTATTCTATTTATTTATTTATGAGACTTATATACCGCTTTCAGTGCAAGCACTCTCTAAGCGGTGTACACCAGTAAGCAATGTGTATATATATATATATTTACATTGCCCCCAACCATCTGGGTCCTCATTTTACCTACCCCGGAAGGATGGAAGGCTGAGTCCACCTTGAGCCGGTGAGATTTGAACCGCTGACCTGCTGAACACAGTCAGCTAAAGTGGCCATGGGAGGTATTTCTGCCTTCAACGCTAGGCTTTATTTGGCAACCTGGAGAATATTTTCTAGAGTATTAAATAAGGAAAAATAACAATAGCTCTTAGGCTTATGTACCGCTTCACAGTGCTTTACAGCCCTCTCTAAGTGGTTTACAGAGTCAGTATATTGCACCCAACAATCTGGGTCCTCATTTTACTGATCTCAGAAAGATGGAAGGCTGAGTCAACCTTGAGCCAGTCAGGATCGAACTGCAGGCAGTGGGCAGAATTAGCCTGCCATATTGCATTTTAATCACAGCGCCACCAGGGCTCTTAAGTTCATTATTTCGAAGTATGGTGAACCCAAAGGTGCTGGCTGAGGAATTCTGGGAGTTGAAGTCCACATGTCTTAAAGTGGCCAAGTTTGAAGACCCCCTGAGCTATCTTGAACTGACTCCCTTCGACGTCAATTAATTCTCAATTAATTGGCTCCCAACTATCTACATCAGTCCTCTTTACCACCTTCCTTCAGAGAAGGATTAACTGCTCTAAGGCATTCTACAAACCTGCCAGGAAATGGCTCATAATTCTCTTTAATACACTTCCCATGTTACCAACAGATGTGCAAAGCCTGAATCGGAACCAACATTCCAGGAAGACATCAAAATGAAGTATATTGCACACCCCCAGCTGCTATAATAATTTCTGTACGGCTCCTGGTGTGTTCCAAATGACTACAGTATTGGATGTTTTTCAGTTTTGCTGAAAACAAAGGCAATTGCTTTGCGGCAGTTTGGATGCTATAGGTATATGCTTCTTTGGTGCACGTTTTTTTTTTTTTAAAAAAAATAAAGCCTTGTAGCAGTCTTAACAAGATGGCATTTTCTGTTTTTGTAGAAATTAGGTTTTTATTGTCCCCTTCTGCTCCTTTTCAGGAAACGTGGCAAGGCAAGTCGTAAAATGGGGCTAAGCTCACTCAACAAATTTCTCACTTGGCAACATCAATTTTGGACTCAGTTATTTCAGGGTTGTTGTTTTTTTGTTTGGTCTACCTGGTGAGGCAGACACCTGTGAAGCCTTTCTCCTCTCTGTTGCAGTAGGGGTGCAAAAGATTCCCATCTGATTTGCTGAAGAGCACCTACTGGATGATTGATAGTGTAGCCCTGTCCACGCAACACATTGAATCATTGATAAAGATTAAATGTTAAATTTAAAGATCAATGGGAAATTAAAGTTAAGAAAAACTTACTAGGTTATTGTCTAAAAGGTGGAATGTCAAATGAATTAAGATATGTATAGACTGAAGATTATTGATGAATACTAGAAAGGTATTTTTTGTTTGATTAATAGAATAAGAACTGTATTGGTTTGAACATGACAGTAGATAACATAGGGGAAAGAGAGGGAATTAGTTTGTTGTAATAATTTGAGATTCGTACTGATGATATTCAAATGTAACGGAATTACTGTGCTCAGCTGCCACGCTACTTTTCAAATATGTGAATGTAATATTGTAAAACCAATAAAAAAAACTTGAAACTGAAAAAAAAACCACATTGAATCACATGAACTAACCATCTATTTTTAGTTAGCTGTCAAGGTGTCTTTGCAAGAGAGTATTATTTTGTTTTGTTTTTTTCCCACTCTTTCTTACCGTCTTCTCTTGAGGGACAGTCAGCTTTACTGCTTTCTTTGGCACTAATACTACTACTCAGCCATCCATCTCAACCCCTGGCTAACTAAATGAGGATCCTGAAGTCCTGTCTCATTGTCTGTTGCTGGGGAGATGTGGATGGGGGCAAAATAGACACCAGCTGAACAGCAGCAAGATTGAGGGGCTGTGAATTTGTGGTCCAGCTGGATGCCGAGAACATCTGTCTTTGTAATTCAAGATTGGAAAATCACACTGCCCCAATCAAGGGTTGTCTTCAGAATTCATCTGAATATTTATGCTTTGCAATCAGCTCTTTGGGGAATCGCTGCTCCTGTGACAACATGCCGGTCTAACATCCTCGTTCTAATAACATGTTCTTCGCATGTTGTGTCTGTGTTCCTTTTCAGGTGATTATAAACAGCACCATCACACCTAACATGACTTTCACAAAAACATCCCAGAAGTTTGGCCAGTGGGCTGATAGCAGAGCCAACACTGTTTTTGGCCTGGGTTTTTCGTCTGAGCAGCAACTAACAAAAGTAGGTAAATTGCAGTTTCCTTTTTTTAATGTGTTTGGGGGCGGTGGTTATTGTTGGCGTGTTTTTTTCCCCCTTTTTGGTAAGCTCTGCAATAATCTCACCAAATTAAAAGAACAGACATATGGATCTAGTGGGAGTCTTACTGATCAATTTGAAGTTCTTCCATTTTTTTTTCTTAACTAACAAGCAACTTCTCCCTGGGAAGGTGATTAATTTCCTATAATTAGCTGGTAGGAAGTGGCTTGTGGGTGGTGCTAATGATCTTTTTTCTATTTTAATTATTTGGGGGATACCTAATACTCTTATCGCTGCTTTGAGATAATCCGCCCCTTCACATCACTGCAGGTAGGGCTCTTTATAGTCCATCCCAGGACAGATTCATTGGGCTAGACTTGATTATTTTAATTCTTCTCCCTTCAGTGACTACCAATAGAAAACTACCAAGTAGTCTTACTGCTCCAGGGAAGGAGATATTACTTGATTCATTCTTTTAGTTAGATTCCTAGTCCATCTTTCTTCCAGGAACTCTCATACCTCCATCAGTGAGTAAGGTTTATCTCCTGAAAGCTAACACATTGGACTTTGTCCCTGGATGTTTTGTCTTTGGCCATGCTTTTTTTTTTTCTGTATGTTTTGCATAATTGGCTGGGCTCAGACACCACACAAAGCTGAGCATCTCAAAACTCCAACCTGACCAACAACAACAAACATCTCATGGCTTAGCTTCACCCATCACGGGTTGAAGATGATGTGTTGAAACCAATGAGAATTGACACTAACCATCATCTGCGGGGCTGGCATAATGCAACACGTGGCAGGTAAATTGGCAAGAGAAGAGAAGAGTCTCAACTTTCTCTCTGTTGTTTAAGCAAGAGGGGGACAAGGACGTAGCACAGAAAGTAAAGCGCATTAGTGATTGTGTGACTGTAGCCTTTTTGAGTGTTGACGAAAGATGTCAAGGAAAGATGACTGCAACAGAGCCAAGTAACTGAACAACAGCAGTTTGATAATGAAGAATCTGGTGTTACTCTATGCTTTCCTTTTCTGCCTTGAGACAAAACTCATAGTGCTTGTCCCTGCTCTAAAAGAGGCACTTATCTTGACACACACAGCAAACAGTAAAAAAATGCAAAGCATTCAGCCATTAACTGCCTGAGATTGTACTGGCTCCCTGAATGAAATGCCCTTGAGCGTTCTAAGAATTCTCTGTTAATCATGCCATTCTCAACCTTGAAAGGCAATGAGATATTGGAGCAGAGGCCACATTGCCAGCCAATTCAGCTGCAACTTCCCCTACGTGATGGGGAGGGGAGGTCTGGTTATTGCACCGACCAAAACTTTATGGAGTTTGCAGCCTTCCCGTGTGTGAATCTGCCCCTGCGTGCCTCAGACTTCCTTCGTTTCCTCCCCCCCCCTCTAATTAGGAACAGGGGAGTCAAATTTGTGGCTGAACGTATAATGACCCCCCCCCCCGCAATGTTTTTTCATCTTCAACTGTGATGGGAAGGACTGGTGACTGTGTCCTTAAACTATAGTTCACATTTGCACTTATTGTTTTGGTTGAACATGAAATCCATGACATATAGTCAGTGGTCACCTATTTAATAATAATAATAATAATAATAGCAGATGTGGATGTTTGATGGTATTCCATCCTGCGACGATATCTGTAATACCATCAAACATCCACATCTGCCTATCCCAGGTCCTGGGTAAGGACTCGATAGGTAGACAAAATGCCAAATCCAGTCTGAACATCTGGCTGACTGTGCGATGATCGATAATAATAATAATAATAAAGTTGGAAGGGACCTTGGAGGTCATCTAGTCCATCCCCCTGCTCAGGCAGGTAACCCTATGCCATTTCAGACAAATGGCTGTCCAGTCTTTTCTTAAAAACTTCCAGTGTTGGAGCATTTACTGCTTCTGGAGGAAAGTCGTTCCACCGATTAATTGTTCTAACTGTCAGGAAGTTTCTCCTTAGTTCTAGGTTGCTTCTCTCCTTGATTAGTTTCCATCCATTGCTTCTTGTCCTGCCTTCAGGTGCTTTGGAGAACAGCTTGACTCCTTCTTCCTCCTCCTCCCCCTCCTCCTCCTCCTATTATTATTATTATTATTATTATTATTATTATTATTATTATTTCCCTCTTCCAAAAAGAAAAGCAGGGCAATTGGTTAATAGTTTTCAGAAGACCTCGTGTTGCGCCATTCCAGATAGTCCAAAATCTCAGAAGCAATTTTGAATGCAAAAATATTGACCAGGATAATCTGTGTTTTACTTTGGGGCTGTGTCTGCTTTGGTCCTATTGAAATGGGAGGGGAGGAAAACTATGGAATCTCTAATGGAGAGTTGTGGAATCCTTGATGCTCTCTGAGCTTGGTTGTTTTCTCGCAGGCGTTTCATTGCCCAACTTTGCCCAACTAGATGTAGTTAAATGCCTGCAAGAAAAGAGCCAGGCTCAGAGAGCACCAAGGACAGATCAATTTTGAGCTTCTTCTTTATTCCTGTTAGAAGCAACTACAAATTATAAATGCACAACATTCAAGACTGAGCGGGGGAAGGAAGATCAAAGGACCGTCTAAGAAAATGGGGTTATAGAAGATACTCTGTGAACGTGGAGAAGAACAATCCATCTCACATATGGGAAGGTGCATACGATGTCCTTCGATATGTACGTTCTCGTGCTGGCGAGAGAAATCTTGACCTACAAATATTCTTTGCTATGAGTAATGGAGAATTCTCAAAAACGTTGAGAAGTAGCAGCTTCCAGAATTCCTTAGGAAAAGTGAGAATTCTTCAAAGTGGGTGAAAAGCAGACATTTTCTTCAGGGTATTCTTTTCCTTGGAATTCTGTCTCAAGACTGTGAACTGTAACTCCCCTCAGGCCAGCTAACGAAGACGAATACTCCAATATATCAGTTTGGGGAAAGCTGTTGAATAATTTCATAGTGGGCTGTTTAGTGACTGCGGAACAGCAGTGCAAGGACTTGGATGTTCTCTTAAGAGGTGGAGTTGATAAGTCTCTTAACTGGCTGCCTGTCAATGGGTGTCTTCAGGTCATTGAAATGCAGGCCTACAATTCAGAGATGGGTGTGCATCTGCAGTGCGCTTGTGCATATTTACAAAGCCAGTTTGGACTGCAGTACAACATTCTTTCTCATTTTTTCACTATCGTAAATGGCTTTTCCAGTTTGACTTTGAGGCAGGCGACTACGCTATTCGCAACTAATTCTTCTTAGGCCCTTAACCAGAACCACTACATTCCCCCCCCCCATTGTTCTCCCCCATCTGAGGCCGATGAGAAAGATAAATAAGCTCTCACCGTTTTGTTTTTCCTCCAGAAAGCCTGAATAAGGCTTCCCATTTCATCTGTGAATGATTCGTGGTACTTTTCCAAGGGAGTTCATTCCGTTTGGACTGGCCAACTTGCTGGTGATCCCTCTACTGCTCTTTTGATGGGTTTCATCTATCGGAACCCTGACCCTTGTGAAGCGACCCTGTGCGTGGCTACTCAAAAGGGAAGCCCTCTTAGGGTCAAGCGTTTTTAACCCAAGAAAATAAAATATGGATGGTTGCCCGCTTCTTCCTTCAAACGAGAGCTTACCTGAAGGAAACATAATAGTAATAGTAGTAAAGTTGGAAGGGACCTTGGAGGTCATCTAGTCCAACCCCCTGCTCAGGCAGGAAACCCTACACCAGCGGTTCTCAACCTGTGGGTCGGGACCCCATTTGGGGTCGAACGACCATTTCACAGGGGTCGCCAAACCATGCTGTCCGCCATTTTGTTTTCCCCTTTTCCCTAGCTGTCCTACTCCCTCTTATTGGTGGCCACACCCACTTGGGGGTCACCACAACATGGGGAACTGTATTATGGGGTCACGGCATTAGAAAGAGAACCACTGCCCTACACCATTTCGGACAAATGGCTGTCCAGTCTTTTCTTAAAAACTTCCAGTGTTGGAGCATTCACCGCTTCTGGAGGCAGGTTGTTCCACTGGTTAATTGTTCTCACTGTCAGGAAGTTTCTAGGTTGCTTCTCTCTTTGGTTATTTTCCATCTGTAGCTTCTTGTCCTGCCTTCAGGCGCTTTGGAGAACAGCTTGACTCCCTCTTCTTTATGGCAGCCCCTGAGATATTGGAATACTGCTATCATGTTCCCCCCTTGTCCTTCTCTTTGTAAAACTAGACATACCCAATTCTAGCAACCGTTCCTTATATGTTTATTTCTCAAATTTCTAGTAAGGATCTCCTGGCAGATCTGGAGATTTTTTTAATTTTTTTATTTTTTGAGGAAGATTGCTGTAAGATACCTCAGAAGTAGTAGAGATATCCGTAGCGACATAGGGGTCGTAAAAACCTGCCTTCCCACAGCTGTCAAAAGTCACCGCCCGATGAATGTTTCAAGATGACCCAGAAGGAAAATGATCAAACATAGGAAAGTGTAATAAGGTCCTTAATGAACCAGTTTCATTTAATTTTAATTATATTGAAACAACAGAGAGGGCCTCTATGACGCAGCGTCCATTTCTTGCCAGTTGCTTTTTTTGCGGAGATAATGGTGGTGGGGAAAAAAAAAATAGGATATGTGTTTCCTTTTCCCCTTCTCAAATCTAGCAACAGCTTTCGCTAGATGGATGACACAAATCTAAGTTTTAAATGTGATCTCAGCCACAGGGTAACTGGAAGGCTAACTGACAAATTATATTCACAGCCAGGATTTATAACTCTGCTTTCAAATGAATATTTATTCCCATTTTCACCCTGCCCTGTTCTAGCCAGGAAAAGGATGCTTTGGTGAAAAATTGGAGGGGTGGAAGGGGGCCGCAACCAAAGGGAGGGTGGAAAAAAATAATGATAATGAATGTTTGCAGTTCAGCTGAAACAAAAACATCTTTTTGATTTCCTTTCTGCATTTTATCTGCTCTTTTATTGCTCTTCCTTCTCTTCCCCCCCTCCCCCTTTGTCATTTGCTGGGCTAATTGTAGGTTAGTGTGTGGGTGATCATAAAATGATGGGCAGTGGATTAAATCTTGCTTCCTTTGTATTTGTTCTATGTATTTCTCCTTCTTCCCTTCCTCCCTTCCTCCTCCTCCTCCTCCTCTTCATTTCACCTTCATTTCTTTCCCCACTTTCTCTTCTCCCTCCTTCTTCTTTCTCCTTTCCTTCCTCCGTTTCCTCTTCCTCCCCTTTATTTTCAGCTTCATCTCTTCCCTCTTCCTCCCTTCCTCTTCCACTTCTTCTTTCTCCTCCTCTTCCTTTCTTTTTCTCCTCCCATTCATTTTCACCTTCATCTCTTCCCTCTCCTTCTTTTCCTCTTCTTTCTCCTTCTTCTTTCCCTTCTTCACTTCACTCCTTCCTCTCTTCCTCTCTCTCTCTTCTCTTTTTTTTCTCCTTCTCCTTTGCTGAGGATGTTACCTAGTTTGGGTAACGAAACATCTGCAAGAAAGCAAACAAGCTCAGAGAGTACCAAGGATGACTCCTCCTCCTCCTTCTTCTCCTTCTCCTTCTTCTCCTCCTCCTTCTCTCTGCAAACCCTCCTCCCTTATGAACACTGATGATGTTATCTGGTTGGGTAATGAAATGTCTGCAAGAAAACCACCAAGTCCAGAGAGCATCAGGGACCCTACAGTTCTCCTTCTCCTTTCCTCCTCCTCCTCCTCCTCCTCCTCCTCCTCCTCCTCCTCCTCCTCCTCCTCCTCCTCCTCCTCTTTTAAGAAGCTTCAAATTCATTTCAGCAATGTACTGCACACTTGTTTTTGCCTCTCTTCATATTCTTAAAATTAGAATTATCCAGACTTGGGGCAAAACAGATGTCTACTGGTATCCATTAGAATACAGCTGGAGAAGCGGTTCTTGGACTTTGCATCCAAATGGTTTGGCACCAGTTTGCATCCAGATGTTATCTTTCAGTAACCCTGTCCTTATTAGTACAAAATCTTATGGCAAAAAAAAAAAAAACAAAACCCTGAGAGCGTGCAGTACTCTGTAACCAAAGGTGCTGCTTTCATTCATGGGGGGGGGGCAGTGTGGCTCCTTGCCAAGTGCCAACAACTGGAAAGAAAATAAGAGTAGGTGGTAATCAACTGCACGGTTTGTAGATTTTCGGGGTAGGAGTGGGAAATAGGACTTGCTGAACAACTACAGGTGTTTTTGCATATAATAAACCATAAACCACGGTTTGCAAGCTGCGAGCTAAGCTAAAACTGAATGATGGATTAGCTTGTTGGGTGAATTCTTAAAAGCCAGCAAACGCTATGTTAAAATAGTTGGACTCTAAGGCAGAGGTCCCTGACTTTGGCCACTTTATGACTTGTGGACTTCAACTCCCAGAACTTCTGGGAGTCGAAGTCCACAAGTCATAAAGTAGCTCTAAGGTGCTTTAGGAGACTTTCTTATAGAGCAGTGGTTCTCAACCTGTGGGTCGGGACCCCATTTGGGGTCGAACGACCATTTCACGGGGGTCGCCAAACAACGCAGTCCGCCATTTTTTCCCCCTTTTCCTTAGCTGTGCTACTCCCTTTTATTCTATTGGCTTTTGAAAGCCAATAGAATAGACTCTCTTGAATAGAGTCTAATTCTATTGGCTTTCAAAAGCCAATAGGAATTGTCCAGGCTGCCTCTGCCCTGCTGAGCCCGCCAAAAGTCCCATTCTGCAAATGGTGCTGCACCAGTTGAGTAGTCCTCGACTTACGACCGGTTGAGTAGTCCTCGACTTATGACCGGTTGAGGGGGTCGCAGCATTAAAAAGGTTATAGAGAAACAGAAAGTGCATTTATCTAGCTTTTTCCAATGTCTTGAGTATTTTTGGTTTTTTTCCTACTCTTTCCTATTCATGGAGAAGAATTCAGAATTGGAGCAAGCTAGTATGTCTACTAAAGTCTTATGTCTGTATATGCCCACCTTTATGGCAGTCTGTGACACCAAGACATAACCCAATATAAAATGCATTTGTTTTTCAACTTCCATAGCTCTAGAATCCCAAAATTAAGGCAACGTTTTGGTCCTTGTGTTCCCATTTTTAGTTTGCTGAGAAATTTCAGGAAGTGAAAGAAGCTGCCCGACTAGCCAGAGATCGGTCACAAGAAAAAATGGAAACTTCCAGTAACCATTCACAAGTAAGTCATGATCTGACACCTGTCTGAAACGATCTAGGGCAGTGTTTCTCAACCTTGACAATTTTAAGGCATGTGGGCTTCAACTCCCAGAATTCCACAGCCAGCACTGGGGGCTGGACTAGAAGACCTCCAAGGTCCCTTCCAACTCTATTCTGATTCTCTGTCTGCTCTCTATTCAAGGACGCGGGGACGACTGATTTGTCCTATCAACCTTGCAAAAGGCAAGACTGGCTTTTGACCGAAAGCTTTAAGAGCTTGAAATAAATTTTTAATAATTTAAAATAAAGCATTGGCTGAGAAAAATAAGGATTTCCTGTAGATTGGCTGAGTTTAAACTTGGGCTAAGCTGTTGTTTCATCAGCAAATTGTGATTTACTGCTCTGTTTGTGAATGCAGTCTCTGACTTCTGGACATCAGAGCTGAAGGTGATACTACAACGTACGTAAAAACCAGGGGTCCTTGGTGCTCTCTGAGCTTGCTGGTTTTCTGGCAGATGTTTTATTAGCCAAACTGGCAAGAAAACATCAGCCCAAAAAAAAACCAAGCAAGCTCAGAGAGCACCAAGGACCCCACATTTCAACGCTGAGCTACGAATATTCTCCTTTATTGGCATGTGGAAAATCACAGGAAGAACATGGTTCCTTTTGACTACAAAGAAGGGATCCTATTGGAGCGTTTTAATCCTCCCAGCTCAGATTTAACTCTCCCCATATTAAAAAAAAAAAAAGTGAACATTTCCTGAGGAAAAGATTCTCAATTTGTCCTTCTCTTCCCTTCTCATTTGCATTTCTTTATATACTAGGATTTTTTTTTTAAAAAAAAAATGTCACTCTTTTTCTTGGGCTCTGAGTTGGCATGAATACAACCTATGATTTTGCTAAGGGATCAGTTTGCATCGACAAGAATATTGTTTGAACATATTGTATCGATTCTGAATGCTGGGGGGGGGGGAAGTTTTCAATTAAGAAACCCATGAATGCAAAAAAAAAATATATGTGTTCTTTTAAGGCAGTGGTTCTCAACCTGTGGGTCGGGACCCCATTTGGGGTCGAACGACCATTTCATGGGGGTTGCCAAACAAGGCTGGCCGCCATTTTTTCCCCTTTTCTTTGGCCACGCCCCTGGCACCCGGTGATGTATAAGTGGTTGGGGGTCACCACAACATGGGGAACTGTATTATGGGGTCGCGGCATGAGAAAGGTTGAGAACCACTGTTTTAAGGCAACATCTGCCCCCACTCTCCTTGGTCTTTTGAAAGGGCCTGGCTTTGCCATCTAGACTTGGACCCCAATGAGGGCATCTACCCTGGAGGTGGTTAGTAGATCAGGAGAGGATTCCATCTCCACTTCCTTTATGCACCGGCCCTTTTTTTTAAAATGTAGTTTGGTGTTCATCTTTTCATTCCTATTGTTGACGGTTTGCATTTTTTTCATGCTTTGACAATGCTGTAAGCCGCCCAGACTTGCTTGACAGTGAAGCAGGCAGCACATAAACTGAATAATGAAGATTGTAAAAAATTTAAAAATTATTGTAAATAAATAATAAGGCATTTTTTAAAAAAGTATTTTAACATTTAATACTGAAGATTTTCTGGAATAGCGGGAGGGTGTCCATCTTGAAGGTGAGAACTGGGCTCACTTCCAAAGATGGTAGAGGTGCTATTGTATGTTTTGCAACATGATCTAACACGCCAAGAAGCGGATGTGAGGGCGAGCTGGCTGCGACATCTGTCACCCCATTGATCGCCAGGGTTGATTCGGCTGATCTGGCTGGCTAGGCGGGTGTCCCCTTCCTCCCTCACCGCTCCATGTGCGTCCCTCCCGAAGCTGCGCGCTCGGTGGAAGAGGACGACCATCCCAGATAGAAGGAGTGTACCGATCTTTGGTCAAGGGTATACGATAGCTGCGCTCCCCTGCTAGAACCTCCAAACAAGCTCAAGGTCCATTTGTAGGAGAACGTAGGGTAGTCAAGCTTCCAAGACCTCCAGACACATCCAAGTGAGGCGCTGGATGTGGCAGTTTGCCATTCGAAAAAAAAAAAAAAGATGAGAGGGGAGGAAGGAGTAGGGAGGAAGTAGGACGGTTAGAGGAGATGGGGAGGGGAAGAGAGTAGGAGGGGAGGAGAGAAAGAGGAGGGAAGTAGGGAAGGTTTAGAGAGGGTGGACGCAGCCTGGGGGGAATGGGCAGGCCGTACCAATGGTTAATTGTATTTTGTATGAATAAATGGAAAATAAAACTTTTTTTTTTATTAAAAAGTTTTATAAATTTTACAGAAAATAAAAGACAATACAAAAACAAAAAACAACATATACAGATAAAAAACAAACATTACCCAACAAAAACCCCCTTCCCCCACCCCTACCCAAACCCCCCCTTCCCCCCCCAGGGCCTCCCAGAGCAGAATATAGGCTTAATTAAAAAAAGTTAAAAAAATTTATATTTATAAAAAAAAGAGAATATAAAATAGAATATATATATATATATATATATAAAGTTAAAAATTATGAAAAAACTATATAGTATTTTTTTATATCAAATTTAAATTGTATGAATTTTATCCATTTATCCCAAACAGCAAGAAATTTCTCTTGCGTTTGCCCCTTTAAGAAAGCTGAAATCTTTGCCATTTCCGCCAAATGAGACACTTTAAGAAACCATTCCTGCAATGTAGGCAAAGATTCCTTCTTCCAATATTGTCCTAATAAAAACTTTTTTAATATAACACGCCAAGAAGCGAATGCCTCGGTTATCATGGTCCTTTTTCCCCTCTTGAAATCTCACCATGCAGGAATCTGGCCGTGAAACTCCTTGTTCTACCCGAGCGTCCAGCGTGAATGGAACGGATGATGAAAAAGCCTCACATGGGGGACCTGCTGACGCACAGCTAAAAATGGAAAACGAGAAACTTAAGATTGCCCTGGCCCAGAGGTGAAGCAATCTTTGCGTCATGACATGAACTATGAATGACTCTTGTGACAAGCTGGTGGCAGCATTAAGAAAGAAAGAAAGAAAAAAAAAGAGGGAGAAGGCTACTACTCTTTGCAACAGCAAATTTGTCCTCTCTTTAAGGATACGTAAAGAGTTCTTTTCTCTTTTGTAAACTTAAGAAGGAAGAGAACGATGATGGTGCTGCTTTTCATGGTTGACCTGGTTGCTTCTCAGCTGAGAGTACATTCCTTGAATTTTACTGAACAAGAGTATATTTCCTTCTTTTTTTTTTTAATGTGGATGTAAGAGTCGTCCGAATAGCGAGATGGGTGGTATATCAATTGAATAAATAAATAAAAATATGTTAGTGAAGAAATGTTTTGCAAAGCTAAAAGAGGAACATGGGAAGGAAGGAAGGAAAGAAGGAAGGAAGGAAGGAAGGAAGGAAGGAAGGAAGGATGAAAGGAAGGAAGGAAGGAAGGAAGGAAGGGGAAAGGAAAGGAGGGGAAGAGAAGGGGAGGGAAAGGAAAGGAAAGAGAAAGGAAAAAGCCATAACAAAGGAAAAAATATTTAAAGAAGTGATTTTATTGCACTTATAGACCATTAATCTCATTTTCCTCTCTCAAAATTACATAAGGTAGTTCTCTTTTCCCCATATGCATTCCCTTTTAATTGATAAATCCAGAAATCTCCAGCTCACTCTTATCCATCTTCACCCCCCCAAAAAAAAATGCAGAAAAGGATTTCCAGTCTTTCATAAAAAATAGTTGTAGTTTTTCTTATCCCTGATCAAACAAATCAAGCTAGCCATTTTTGCAAGTTCTACTATTTTCACGACCCGCTTCTCCACTGTGTAGAGAGGACATTTCCTCCTGCAGGGGTGGATAAATGGTGCGATCCTAAAAATCAAACAAAACGGTGCAATTGGATCGCATCCATTTTTGCTTCCGATGCCGCCGTTGTAGGGAGATAGTGATAACGGTAACTCTATGATGTGAGCATGTTCTGAATTATAAAAATTTCTGCCTGTTCTAAGAGCTTTTGAGGACCAAAGAACATCCAACATCTGGTGGCCACATATGGTGCTAGACAAACCCAACATAGCAAAGTATTTTTTCAATTTGTTTTCAGTTTTTGTCCTGGGAGAAGAGTCATGTCGTACATACTGAACGGATTCACACATTTCGCTTCATACCAGTTTAATACAAGTTTAGGGCACATTTATGTACCTCATTCTTTTCAGCCAGAAGTATGTAAAATAATTTACAATGCATAAGGCAAATTGTAGACATGTTTGGATAATGCTGATTCTTTTTGTGGCTTGAGAGGACTAAACAATATTAAATAATCATGACTGCGCCCTCTTTTCATTTGCAAGAGTGTAGGAACGCAACAAAAGGATCAACCTAATGGCGATGTAATTTATTTGGTTTACCCTGAAAACTCCACTAAACGCAAAGGTGGAATAGGGAGGGGGCGCTTGTTCTTTTGCTCCTTTTGAAAAAAAGACAATTAAGCTTGCACTGACAAATTTCAAGAGTCCCTGTGTGTATTTTGCCATCCTTAGTACCTCCAATGTGAAGAAATGGGAATCAGAACTACAGACGCTTAGAGAGAGCAATGCAAGACTCACGACAGCCCTCCAGGAATCCGCAGCCAGCATAGAACACTGGAAAAAGCAGTTTTCCATTTGCAAAGATGAAAATGATCAACTGCAGAGTAAGGTACGGGATGTCACAAAATGAAAGCGTCTGGGGTTTTTTTTGGTTTTTTTTGCCATTATTCCTAAGATTCTCATTAAATCAGTTGAGGGTGAAGAGCTTAAAACTCTTTAAAGATGGAGGTTGCTTTTCTTAAGGTGTCCATCAAAATTGAATGGGCAATGATAACTTTTTCATTAGCAATAGCAATAGCATGTCGACTTATATACCGCCCCCTAGCGCTTTAGAGCACTCTCTGAGCATCTTGGCCCCAACAGTCTAGGTCCTCATTTTACTGATCTCGAAAGGATGGAATCTGGGTCAACCTTGAGCTCCGTCAGGATTAAACTCCAGACTATGGGCAGAGTTTGCCTGCAGTACTGCATTCTAACCACTGTGCCACCAGGACTCATTGTTAGAAGGGATGTTCTGGATCATATAGCTCTATGTAACCCTAAGTAGAGAGCATGTATCTGTATGTTAGAATATCTGGCATTTATTGGGTTAAGTGCTGTCTCCTTAAGAGATGGCTTATGGGAAATGTAGTTTAGCTAGTCAGTCATCCCATGTTAACAGGTCAGTAGGAGGAGGAGCCTCTGATCTCTTCTCAGGACATACTGGCTACGTGCCCAGTTTGGAATGCCTTTGTTCATCCAGCCTCATGTCTCCTCGCCACATGGTTTGGAGCTCCTATGCCAACATGTGATGCTTATGCAGAAGAAGAGGGGAAAATCCATTATCAAATTACCTGTGGAATGAACCAATATTGTTGAAATATACTTTTGGACGTATCTCTACATAACTGTGAGTTATTGTTTAGGATTCCCAGAATAAAGCGATATTTTCTGTTTATTCCTCTGAGTTATCTATCTGTCCTGGATAGGACTAAGGCCGCCTGTTCTGTCTGGGGCAGAATAAAGGATATATATAGTTTTTACAGTTAATGTCGAGCTCATGTGCTAAAACTCCAGCCGAGAGTCTACTTCAAGTACAAAGTTAAAGAGGCCATGTGTTTTCTTTCTTTAAGATTGAGGAGCTGGAAGAACAGTGCATTGAAATCGATAAGGAGCGCGATCGGAACGCACAGCTTAACAGGCGTCTTCAGGAGCTGGAAACAGAACTTCAGGATAAGGAGTTGGTAGGTATACTGGAACACTGCATCCGATTTTAGTCACTACATTACAAAAAAGATGTTAAGACTTTGGAAAAGGTGCAGAGAAGAGCAGCTAAGATGATTAAAGGCCTGGAGACTAAAACATATGAAGAGCGGTTGCAGGATTTGGGTATGGCTAGTCTGGAGAAGAGAAAGACTAGATTACAAATTTACAGAAAACATTAAAACGTAACAGTTCCTAATCTATTAAGTCACAATAAAAGACATTAATTATACAATGTCTACATATAAAAGCCACTCTCTCAGGATAATGGAACGTTGTCTTTGGCAATGGTTCCGAAGCGCTTCCAGACGTGACAGCAGGGTTGTTCTCTCTCTTTCTTTTTAATCATTATACTTGTACAAAGGACTGAGCTTTTCACCGGAGAATCTCTTCTAAATTTTGCCCTTCCTGTTTTGGGTTTAATCGAGCTCCTGAACACAAGCGCATGGACCAGGAATGTTGTAGGCTTTGGTGAAGAACAATGGCCTGTTATACAGGGAGTCGTGGACCTAACAGCAGTTTGTTTAGTGCCATTCGAACTCACAAGGGCACTGAAAAAAGTGACTTATGACCATTTTTCAGACTTACAATCTTTGCAGCATCTCCACAATCATATGAATAATGAATAATAATAATAATAATAATAATAATAATAATAATAATAATAATAAAAAAAAAAAGTTGGAAGGGACCTTGGAGGTCATCTAGTGCAACCCCTGCTCAGGCAGGAAACCCTATACCATTTCGGACAAATGGCTGTCCAGTCTCTTCTTAAAAACTTCCAGTGTTGGAGCATTCACCGCTTCTGGAGGCAGGTTGTTCCACTGGTTAATTGTTCTGACTGTCAAGAAGTTTCTCCTTAGTTCTAGGTTGCTTCTCTCTTTGATTAGTTCCCACCCGTTGCTTCTTGTCCTGCCTTCAGGCGCTTTGGAAAATAGCTTGACTCCCTCTTCTTTGGGGCAGCCCCTGAGATATTGGAACACTGCTATCATGTCCCTCTTCGTCCTTCTCTTCATTAAACTAGAGGTAGCCAATAATAATATATAATAAACCCCAAATCCAGACGCAACCGGCTCATATTTATGACGGTGGCAGCCGTCCCAGAGTCACATGATCCCCTTTTGTGACCTGACAGGCAAAGCCAATGGGGAAGCCAGATTCACTTAACAACCGTGTGACTAAGTCAGTGGTTCTCAACCTGTGGGTTGGGACCCCATTTGGGGTCGAACGACCATTTCAAGGCTGTCTGCCATTTTTTCTCCCCTTTTCTTTGGCCACGCCCCTGGTACCCGGTGATGTATAAGTGGTTGGGGGTCACCACAACATGGGGAACTGTATTATGGGGTCATGGCATTAGAAAGGTTGAGAACCACTGGACTAAATTAACAACTGCAGGGATTTTCTTCACAACTGGGGCAAGAAAGGTCCCAGGATGGGGCGAAATCCCTTGACAAATGTTTCCACGTAGCGATAAAAATTTTGGGCTCAGTTGTGGCCATACACCCAATCAGTTCAGACTATAGAGCTTTGCTGGCTGAGGAATTCTGGGAAGTCCACAAGTCTTAAAGTTGCCAAGGTTGAGGACCCCTGCTATAGAGGTTGACGCCCAGACTCAAACATCTTCTGCCCATCAGCTTCAAAGGAAAAAAGAAAACCGAGCTTTTTTCACCCAGCCTCCTCCACAGGGGACGACACTCCTAATAGTATTTTGTAACTCTCCAGACTTGTGAATAGGATGAGCTGCCTTTTCATTTGCTGGCGAGGTTTTACCCGGCATTTGCTTCTCCAGCAGCGCCCCGGGGTTAGCAAGCCCCAGCCAGCGCTAGACGGAAAGCTAATTTTGCCTTTGCAAGACAGAGCTTGTGTGAATTCCCCTTGGAAAGTGTGACAGAGTGGAAGGAGCACCTGTGGACGCTTTCTGAGTGGGGATGCATGGCCAGGAGGAGAGGGCAGCCGGAGAGAGAGAGAGGAAAAAAACATTGTTTTTCCTCTTCAGCTGCAGACTATTTTTTAAAAAACATTTTATTAGATTTTATAAGGGTAGAAAGGGGATAGGATTGATATAGGTAGTGGGTGGGGTTGGGAAATAGGGTTGGGATAAGGGTAAGGGTAGCTACAATAGTGGGGTTGCTCCCCACAAAGAATTCAATGCTTTAGCAAGCAGACTATCGTCCGGATACAAATACTGAATGACGGTAGTTAATATAATACTAAACAATTATGATCACTGATAGTAAGAATAATCATAAAAGTAAAGCTTAGTGAGTAAATATCATCCATCATGTTAAATTTCACAATCCTTTCTCGCTCTAACGTAATGCTAACCGTTGATAAAAAAAAATTCCCCATGTTTTAAAATACACTGAATCTTCTTTCTCTTTAATCTCTAAAGTTAGTCTATCCATTTCTGCACATTCTAAGATGTTCATGATAATAATCCGATCAGGTGGTAAATTTTCATTTTTCCAAAAATTGGGCAAATGCAATTCTCGCAGCTGTCAATACATGTAGTATTAAATATTCATTCTCTTTCCCATAATTAAGTCCTAATATTCCTAACAAAAACAGTTCTGGCTTAAATTCCATCTGTATTTTAGTCATCTTTTCCAGCTGCAGACTATTTTTTATATGCTGTCATGGAATGGGTATGCCTTGAAAACAAGATGGGAAACAACGGGAGATTTCTGAGTTTCCCCTTTTACACCCAACCCCCCCCCTTACAGGAAGCAGAGCCCCCAGCCCTGTGGAGATTAATAAGCAGCAATATAGGCTTAACAAAATGCTCCCTTTGTTAAATCAAGAAATCTTTGCTCTGCCCAATTTGCTTCATTATTCCCCTCCCACAGTGGCCACTGAAAAGAATTCCAAGAGCCAGATTGACTTACTGGTTAAGGCATCAGGTTGGAAAGCCAGAGACTCTGAGTTCTAGTCCTGCCTTAGCCATGAAAGCCAATCACCAGGAGATGGCAAGTTCTAGTCCCGCCTTAGCCATGAAGGCCAGCTGAGTGACCTTAGGCCAATCACCACGAGACTGTGAATTCCAGTCCTGCCTTAGCCATGAAAGCCAGCTGGGTGACCTTGGGCCAATCACCAGGAGACTGTGAATTCCAGTCCTGCCTTAGCCATGAAAGCCAGCTGGGTGACCTTGGGCCAATCACCAGGAGACTGTGAATTCTAGTCCTGCCTTAGCCATGAAAACCAGCTGGGTGACTTTGGACCGATCACCAGGAGACTGTGAATTCTAGTTCCACCTTAGCCATGAAAGCCAGCTGGGTGACCTTGGACCAATCACCAGGAGACTGTGAGTTTTAGTCCCGCCTTAGCCATGAAAGCCAGCTGAGTGACCTTGGGCCAATCACCAGGAGACCATGCATTCTAGTCTCACCATAGCCATGAAAGCCAGCTGGGTGACTTTGAGTCAATCACCAGGAGACCGTGAATTCTAGAACCACTGTACCCATCAAAACCAATAGGTTGGTTTTGGGCCAGCCTCTCTCTTTCTGCCCAACCCACCACGTAGGATTGTTGCGGTGGGGCAAGTAGGAGGAGGACGTTATGTTGGCGATATTAGCTGCCTTGAGTAGTGTATAAAAATAATGAAGGCAGAATATAAATAAATGAAAAAAAAAATTCCCCGGCCATTTAAAAATGCTATCTTCTATCTTGCAGTTATAATGCTCATTACTTCCCTGTTAGCTAGTTGGCGCTGTTCTCTTGGCTGGTGCTGATTTGCTATTTTTAGAAAGAGCTTCTCTGGAGCCACTCCATCCAAAAACTGTCCCATTGGTGATGGAGGAACTTTTTCACGAAATCCCCAACTAGTCTGGTTTTCTTCTTCAGGATGTTGCCTTGAAGGCTAAGAGTCATCCTATTTTGTATCAAAGTCTTCGCTCACCATGGATGTTGCTATTTTAATACATTCTCTTCCCCCGCACCGCCCAAGGGTAACACAACATTTTAATGTATAAACATATCTATGTATTTGGACAGTTTATTAAAGCAGAAGGTATCATTAAATGTTGAAATTATTGCTACGTTTGCAGTAAAGCACAGCAATAAGACATGTTTTTCCCTTAAGTTAACATTTTAATGATTCATTTCCTTTGACAGTGGAAAGTTCCCCGAACGCTCAGGTGCTAGTGCTTTCTCCTAATGTTTTCAATATATATTTAAGAAAGTGGCAAGGTGAGGGTGTATATGATTATAATTTCATAGCATGCACGTTTCTCTAGGAATTGGAAGATCTACGGAAACAGGGCGAAATTATACCTCAACTCATGACAGAATGTGAAACGGTTTCTCAGAAATTGCAGGTATGCATAGTTATTAGTCTTTGGTAAAACATGTTGCAGTTTAAATAAAAGATTGCTTCAAACCTACAGCCAATATCTTTTTTTTTCTTATAGGCAGGAGACAGGGCCAATGATTCATGCTGATATAAGTCAGGAGGGTGAAATTGGCTCTTAGTGAAGCCAATTCCAGGATTGAGAATAGATAGTTCTTTAGGCATTGCTGAGTTATAAGTCCCATCATCCCCACCATTAACCCTACTGGTTGTGGCGGCTGCTGGTTGCTTTTCATTCATCAATATCTAGAGCAGGGGTCTTCAAACTTGGCCCTTTTATGACTTGTGGACTTCAACTCCCAGAATTCCTCAACCAGCGTGCCTGGCTGAGGAATTCTGGGAATTGAAGTCCACAAGTCATAAAAGGGCCAAGTTTGAAGACCCCTGATCTAAGGGGTTACAGATTCCTCCTCTCTACAAATTCTTCCTCTCTACAAGAAGATATAGCTACAATATGTTCATCTTATTTATACATATAAGCCATTCTTCCCATTTATGATTTGACTGGAAATCACACAAATGGCGAAACTCACAAGGTAATGTCTTGTTCAATCATCAATAGCATGATATACCACTATATAACATACGAAGAGCAGTTAACAGGAATTGGGTATGTCTAGTCCAGGGGTAGACAACCTTGGCTCTTTTATGACTCCTGGACTTCAACTCCCAGAATTCCTGAAGCAGCCATGCTGACTCAGGAATTCTGGGAGTTGAAGTCCACAAGTCATAAAAGAGCCACGGTTGCCCACCCCTGGTCTAGTCTAATGAAAAGAAGGACTAAGGGAGACAGGATAGCTGAGTTCCAATATCTGAGGGGTTCCTTCAAACTTTCTTTCTGTTTTGCCAGGTGGCTGAGAAAAGGAATAAAGATCTTGAAGAGAAAGTTAAAGCTTTAAGGACGGAAGTAGAAGAGAGCAAACATCGGCAGAACAACCTGAAGACAGAGCTGCAGACTTTTTTAGATGTCCTAGACGGAAAGATAGATGAACTGCAAGATTTTCGGCAAGGACTCTCCAAGCTGAGTGTCGACAATTAGGGGACAGCAACTTTCCCCCACCCCAAAATATTTGGCGTGTGTATGTGTGTGTGTGTATATATGTGTGTTTTAAGCCTAGGTATATGTTTCTACAAAAAAGTGAAAAGATGGGTGTTCTTCCTTACAATGTGATTTGTACATAGAGGCTAAAGACTTTTTTTTTTTCAACTTCTTTTTTTTCTGTTCTAAAAATTGCTCCTTGCTTCTTCCTTCCTTTCTTTAAGAAAGAGATGACAACTTTTTTTTTAGATCTTACTCTTCTAGCCCATTCGGAGTTTGTAAGCAAACGGGGGGTGGGAGGGGTGGAGTTCTCTTGTCTCGGGAGATCTGAACCTCAGTTTACCTTAATGTAAAGTTGCAGTTGCAGTTGCAGTGGGTGTTGTATGGAGATTTTGATTTAAGGCCTGCTGCAACTGTAGCATTTCCAAAATGCTCAGCTGCTGCCCATGTATGCCTCATTTTATGGTGCAGGCAGCAGCGAAGATGGAACAGAGATTTTAGGAGCAACCACATAGCTCCCCCTTCTTCTCCTTCTCCTCCTCTTCTCCTTCTCCTCCTCTTCCTCCTCCTCCTTCTTCTTTTCTTCTCTTTCTCCTCCGCCTCCTTGAAATACCTGTGATGCCTTTTCCTAGAGGATTTGCCATGTTCAATGTGCACTTAACCCCACCCCACCCCTTTTTTTTTAGATTGCAGCATATTAAGGGAAGGTTCCCCTGTCACTTTTGGCAGAACGAACGTGCACGTTATGATGCCCTTGGTGAGTTTTTTCTAAAACTGTGGATAATATGTTAGCTATTACAGTGTAGAAAAATTGGGCGTCTTTTAACACATCCCCCAAAATAATGAGGGTGGGACCAAAACGTGCCCTATAGGAGTAGCCCGTTAGCCACTGTCTATCACAAGAGGTTGGAGCAGAATGTTTGTATTCAGCATAGATGCATTTATTTTAAAACACTCATGAGCTGCCTGGGCTTGTAACAAGTAGATTTACTCACGACAATCTACAATATAGAATAAACATCACAGCAACAAAATGATAGGAGCCAGGTAAAATAAGGTGGAAAATTGAGCATTGGTTCAAAGTACTACCCTAATTCTGGATGAGGTTTTATTTTAAAAAAAATATATTGGGTTTTATGTGGTGGCCTAATAAACGCGGTGAGAAGATATGAGACTTGAACATTTCTAGGTATAATAGTGTAAACATGTAGGATTTGATGGCTATGGTGAATAATGAGCAAAGAATAAACTGATTCTATTCAGATTCTAGAGCTAGGTTTCATCCAGGCATCCTTAAAACCTAATAGTATAAACAAGTAGGATTTGATGGCTATGGTGAATAATGAGCAAAGAATAAATTGATTCTGTTCAGATTCTAGAGCTAGGTTTCATCCAGGCATCCTTAAAACCTAATAGTATAAACATGTAGGATTTGATGGCTATGGTGAATAATGAGCAAAGAATAAATTGATTCTGTTCAGATTCTAGAGCTAGGTTTCATCCAGGCATCCTTTAAACCTAATAGTATAAACATGTAGGATTTGATGGCTATGGTGAATAATGAGCAAAGAATAAATTGATTCTTTTCAGATTCTAGAGCTAGGTTTCATCCAGGCATCCTTTAAACCTAATAGTATAAACATGTAGGATTTGATGGCTATGGTGAATAATGAGCAAAGAATAAATTGATTCTGTTCAGATTCTAGAGCTAGGTTTCATCCAGGCATCCTTAAAACCTAATAGTATAAACATGTAAGATTTGATGGCTATGGTGAATAATGAGCAAAGAATAAACTGATTCTATTCAGATTCTAGAGCTAGGTTTCATCCAGGCATCCTTAAAACCTAATAGTATAAACAAGTAGGATTTGATAGCTATGGTGAATAATAAGCAAAGAATAAACTGATTCTATTCAGATTCTAGAGCTAGGTTTCATCCAGGCATCCTTAAAACCTAGTCCTATCATCAGCAAAATCAGACAGTATCCTTGCAATTAAGCATAGATCTGCATTGTCGTAGATCAGAGGTCCCCAACCTTTTGGGCACCAGGGACTGGTTCCTTGGAGAGAGGTTTTTCCACGGACCGGAGAGGGTGTGGTTTTCCGTGCTGCCTGCATCTCGCGGATGGGGCTTCACTGGTTTGCATGCCATGGATCAGTTCCAGTCCATGCACCAGGGGTTGGGACCCCTGTCCTAGATGACCATCGTAAGAAAGGAAGTCCAAAGGGAAGATGCCAACCTATTTGAAGCTTTTGCTTTTGTGTTTGCAAACCTTGCTCCGTAAATCCAAATGAGTAGGGGCTGATATTGCTCATAGTGGAATGAAAAAGAAGTAGATTTCTTCATGTGTTCAAAAAAGTTCTTCATCTTACAAAAAGGAGAGAAGAAAACAGAATCCCAAGGTGGAGTCCAGCCTCAAACTAAGAAATATGCAAAGATGTCTGTGCTGCTTAGAGGGATTTTGAAGTATTGTCCTGATTTTGGTCGTATATATGAATCCACAGTCCTAAACGATTAAGTCCATCCTTCATACCGCCATCTCTATGAAATTAGCTCTTGTGCTCTTGATACAGAGATCAGAGGGTCCCTGAATGTGCTTGGTCAGTCTAATGTTCTAGGTCAGGGGTAGGGAACCTTGGCTCTTCTATGACTTGTGGACTTCAACTCCCAGAATTCCCGAGTCAGCATGGCTGGTTCAGGAATTCTGGGTATTGAAGTCCACAAGTCATAAAAGAGCCAAGGTTCCTTACCCCTGACCTAGAACATTAGACTGACCAAGCACATTCAGGTCAGTCAAGCACATTCTAGGTCAGTCAAATCTCCTTTGGTTTTATGGCTTCCATCTTGTTAAAGTTGCCTTTGAATCCTACTGGGATCATTTTGTACATGCACGCCTGCATGGGATGCCATAAGCATGGAATGCTTCCATTGCTCTGAAGCGGTTGATACATCTTCATTCTAAAGATGTATATCTTAACATCTTTAAGATGCGAGTCAAGTGTGATAGTCCTGCTTCCTCATTTCCAATATGAAGAAGACAGAAATTTGGCTCTTTCACATTTGGGCTTCCATCCTTGTTGACTTCCATTCTTGCTAGAAGAACTCGTTCTGCAGAAGACATCAAAGTCCTTTTTTGCAAAAGCCCACAGTGACTTTGGATTTCCCAGTTCTCCTTGAAACAACCTGTATTGAAAGCACTTTTCTGGAGGTGTTTGAACCCAATGCTTCCCCCCCCCTTTGGAAATGTCAGCTAGGCATGTTCCTTTGAAAGCAATTATAAATAAAGTTCTGCTGAAGGCGAAGGAAGTTTTTAAAAAATTGTTTCATTAAAAAAAAAACTTTCCCATCAATTGTCTCAGCCATCATAGGCTTTCTATCGTTATTAGGTATCTGGATTTATAATGGGAACACAGGACTTTTTTCTTTAAGAGAGTGGTGTTTGTCACATTGATTTGCTTTGACGGGCTTGCAGTCTGGGTTCAGATTATTTATAAAGTTGGCTTAAATATTTATGACCTATTCAGGAGTAATAAGATCTCATAGGTGAGAAATGGCACTTTAAGGCATCAGATAAAGAGCATTAGGAATATGAAGCTAATAATAACAACAGTCTGTAGAGGGGAAACGAGATTCTAAGCCGCTTATATCCTCATAGATCACAGAATCATTTTATAGTTTGACATATTCTTGTGATCAGGCCAGGCTGATCGGAAAACAGCTTTTAAAAACAAGGTGCCTAATAATTGAAAAAAAAATGTTTATATGTGTATATCTGCATTTCTTTTTCCTTATTCTTTAGATTGTTCCTTGTTTGGGGTAATATACAACCTTCCCTTGTTTTAAGGAGAGTAAGCCAGATTTTCTGTACAAGCAGAGAAATCAAAGGAGCACAGATTCTTAGAAATACAGGTAGTCCTTGACTTACGACCGCAACTGAGCGCAAAATTTATGTCGCTAAGTGAAACAATTGTGAATGAATCATTGACTCTGCTTGTCAGAAGGTCATAAAAGGAGATCATGTGACCCCAGGACGCTGCAACCGTCATAATATGAGTCGTTTGCCAAGCATCTGAATTTTGATGGCGTGACCCAGGGGATGCTGCAGCGGTCGTAAGTCTGAAAAAGGGTCATAAATCACTTTTTCCAGTGAATGGTCACTAAACAAACTGCTGTAAGTCCAGGACTATGTGTATGTCTAGAAATATCAGTGAAATATCAGATGATCCGTATTACCCTTTAGCTTGACTCAATTCAAATTGCTGGGTGGCTTCTATGATTTAGACCCATGAATGGATGACTTACCTGATTTTCCAATACTGGTTAGCAATAATTTTATTTAGCCATAGGTTATCCAAGATGATAGGATTGTCGGGAGAAATAAGGTGCACGCTGAATTCTCAATCCCGCACAATTTGTCTGGAGTAAGTTGCCTTCGGGAGCGACAGTGCAGTCCGAATCCTGGGAAAAGCAACCACTTCCATCTTTTTTTTTTTTTGTATATTTTAAAATTGCGTTTTCATATGCAACGTATTAGCTTAAGGAAGTACTACATCACTTCCTGGTAATTCGCAAAGACGGGAAGATTTTAAGATGATCCTAAATGTTTAGACGTTATTACGGGGAGCCTTTGACTTGCAACTGCAATTAGGACTGGAGTTTCCGTTGCTAAGAGATGCAGCCATTAAGCGAATCACACCCAGTTTTATGACCTTTTTTTGCCACAGATGCTAAGCTGCTCGGTTGTTAACTGAGTAATGTCATTAAGCGAATCCGGCTTTTCCAGTTGACTTTCCTTGTCAGCAGTTACCTGGGAAGGTCACACACCTGGTGACCCAGGATGCTGCAGCCTTCGTAAAATACATGCCAGTTGCCATGTTCCCAAGACTACAATCATAACTAGGAGGACTCGGTGTAAGTCACTTTTTTCAGTGTTGTTGTAACTTCAGTCACTAAATGAATGGTTGTAAGTCAAGGACTCCCTGTATATCACTTTTGTCATCAATTTAGAACATGCTTTCCTTTTTACTGCTCAGAATAAAGTTTAGTAAAGGGCAGATTGACAGATGATCAGGGGAAATGCTATTGAATAAAGTGTATTTTTATCCAGATATATAAAATACGGTTAATCAACCTGAAGAAATTATTTCAGGCTTATTGGAGTGAAATTGTCTTACCTTGTTATATGTTTGCTGTAAGCAAGGGTGGGTTTTGGGTTTTTTGTTTTTTTTTTCTATTTCCATGTTAATTAATTTTCAGCACAGACTGATCTCTGAATTTCCTACAGTAGCAGTAAATCCTGGGGTTTTATATATATATATTTGAAAAAAGCAAAATTTAAGACAAAAAAATATATGACCTTTTGTGATTTTTATCTGATTTTATTGTATCATAGAGTTGGCTATGTAAATATATATCTATATAGTTTTAAGTTAAAAAAAAAACAAACAAACCAAACTCGTATATTTATTCTGTTCTGGTTTAATCACTTTTCGATTTCCTGAATTACACATTCTTGGTTTAACATAAGTTGGGGAAAGTCCTCTGTTTTTCTTGGCCCAAACTGTTTTAGCAGGCTGCTTGCCAACGCAGGGAATTCTCCAGGCTAAGTCTGAAAGGGGTTTTAATTAACCATGGCATAAAATCTTTTAGTTCTCCTTTCCCGTCCCTGAAGTTTCCTAGCAAATGAAGATGTGATTCAAAGGTTCTGTATCCTGTCATGTGGGCTGTGCACCGAAGGCACACTAACAAGCAGTTGGAATTTAAGTTTGCCAAAAAACAAACAAACCCCAAAACAGTTGTCAAGAGAGAGATTGGATTTTGTGCGGTGAGTACCGTGCTTTATTGGCTAAAATTTCATTCTGATCCCATTCTTCTTCCCAAACTTTAGGGCGACGGGGACAATTGCACCATCGTTCACAACCGTTTGTGAATTCAGTGAGTGTTGAGATTGTCTAAAACACATTGTATCATAGATATACAAACGTGTGTGGTTGTGTCAAGTTCTTGGATCAAGTTCTAATCAACGGTGCACAGTATATGCCTATATCTGGGCCACATGTTTTTTAGGATCTGAAATAATCAGTGTGTGGAAATCTACAATCCGAGGTCTTTTGTGAAAAAGTATACAACGGAGGACTATGCTGCTCTTTGACATCATAGCTTACTGTTTTTATTTTAACCGGCGGTGTTTTTATTAAGTTATGTCTAAATCCATAATAAAGATTTGCTCTTGTACATGCAGGCAACAGAGTTTCATACCCTGAATTACATTTTTTTAAAAAATTATAAACAAAGCTGAAAGTACAAGTTGCTCCTTTGATCATCAATAGCTATGATGGTTAGTGGTAATGTAAATAAGCTGGCATATTTCACTGGACAAGATCTGTGAATTATTTACTATTAGCTGCCTTTCCCTATAATTTCATAACCTTTCTTCAAACCTACTTACTTTTTTTTTAGTAAAAATATTCCTTGGCAATAAACCAAACTGTACTCCTAAATGTTGAGCAAGTTGTGATCTGATTCCCTAATCTTGATTTGGAAACATGGAGATATATTTCTTGATTTGACATAGCTTCAACTACGCCTGGGAAAAATGAACAGGCATACCCTGACGCCTACAAGGGTGGTTGAACTATATCTCCCAATGTCTGGCACGATCAGTCTTGCTAGTTAGAGTGGCTGAAAGTTGTATTTCTCAACAATGTCAGGGCGACAGGAATGCACTGTGTCCCCATACCGTAAAATTGAGCTTAACATTATTCTTTAAGAGAAATGAAATCCTTGCCAGTGTGATGTGTGCTGGGAAGTGCTTTCAAATTTGATTCCAGATGTCCCCAAGATATGGGGGCACAATGCATCCCTGTCTCCCTGACATTGCTGGGGAATACAACTTTCAGCTACCTTAGCTAGAAAGACTGATCGTGCCAGGCTCTGGGAGATATAGTTCAACAACCTTTGTAGGCCTCGGTACGAATGTCCTTTTTTTTCCCAGATACAAGGACAGTGTGTGTTTCACAACAGAAGCCTGACTAGCCAAACCTTTGCCTAGTACTAAGGCTAGAAAGTTCAGTCTGGTATATCTGGCTACGTGATGGAACCACCAGCTTAGAATTGGTTTAAGGGAGCAAATATCTGAGGTCAAACCTTAGGTCAGTGATGGCGAACCTTTTAGAGACTGAGTGCCCAAACTGCAACCAAAAACCCACTTATGCATCTTCAGGTGCCGGGTGGGTGTGGCCCATTGGGTGGGTGTGGCTGCAGTGGTAACGGCAAACTGGGTGGGACTAAAAAGTTCAATCAATCAATTCCAACTTTGCAAGATCTTTTTTTTCCCATAAGAAGTTGAAATTGACTGATTGATTGAACCTCTTTTTTTTGTACATGGCGGCGGAGGCCTAAAGCGAAAAGATTTTATAAAACCCAGCTGAAGGCCTAGGACTGGGGCGGCGGCACACTTGCTCACAGAGAGGGCTCTGAGTGCTGCCTCTGGCACCCGTGCCATAGGTTCGCCACCACTGCCTTAGGTCTATATTTGTCATTTCCCGAGAGAAGGCAGACAGTCTGGCAAGATTCTTGTAATATAGGTGGTCAGCAATAAACTATTTGTGCCTGTTTATGGAATGATTCTTGTTGCTTGTACCTAACAGGCTAGTCTTCAACATTAAGTCAAAG